TGGTCATTCCTTGAGTGCTGCCCCCAGGGACAGTTTCCTGGCACTTCTGGTCTGTCCTGTGGATGCGTGGAGCAGTTGTGATGGTGAGAGCCCCAGGCCGGCAGTGGGAGATTGGGCAGGTGTGTGTGATCATGGTTATGCAAGACATGGTGGGCGTGGTGCCAATAGCACCTGCTCTGCAGTGCCGTCCAGCTCCCATCTCTCCCCATGCAGGGGGCACCGTGCCCCTGCGAATTGCTGATTCTCCTCATACGGCCTCATCTATTACTGGTAGAAATGTAAATGGGGCAACTGCTGTGGAAAACAATTTGGTGGTTCCTCAATAAGTTAAATGTAGAATTACCATAAAACTCTGCAATTCCACTCCCAGGTTGATACCCAAAAGAACTGAAAGCAAGTGTTCCAATAAAACCTCGTCCACAGATGTTTATAGCAGCCCTGTGCACAATACCCAAAAGGTGGAAACAGCCCGAATGTCCATCCGCTGATGAAGGGATAAACAAAATGTGGTTTATCCATAGAGCCATGAAAAGGGAGCAAGTACTCATACATGCTACAACTTGGATGAACCTTGGAAACATATGCTGAGTGAAAGAAGCTGGACACAGAGACCACATATGATTCAAAATATCCAAACCAGGCTGATCCATAGACAGACAGAGGGTTAGTGGTTGACATGGGCTAGGAGAGGAGGGTGGGGGAGTGTCTGCTTAATGGGTAGGGGGTTTCCTTTTGGGGTGATGCAAGTATTCTGGAAACACACTGTGAATTATACAGTTTACATGGCTTAAATCAGGGGTGGGCAAACTTTCTGACTCGAGGGCCACAATAGGTTCTTAAACTGGACCGGAGGGCCGGAACAAAAGCATGGATGGAGTGTTTGTGTGAACTAATATAAATTCAAAGTAAACATCATTACATAAAAGGGTACGGTTTTTGTTTTGTTTTTTAGTTTTATTCATTTCAAACGGGCCGGATCCGGCTCGCGGGCTGTAGTTTGCCCATGGCTGGCTTAAATGATACATTTATATGCATTTTACCACAAGAAAGGAAGGAACAAACGAACTCTAGGCGCTGCCCAGCCCGGGTTGCAGGGTACACTGCCTGTTTCTCGAGTGGGAAACAACCCCAGAGTGGCATGTGCTCTCCAGGTCGCGCGGTCAGGGAGGGGTCTCCTGAGTGGCTGCTTCTCTGTGCCCTGGGCTGCAGTTGGGCCCCTCATCTTGGCCTTTTTTGTTTCTGTATGGATGGTACAACAGAGGTTGCTGGAAGCTGCCCTGGTGGAAACAAGGCCTCCGTCCTAGAGACAGAGCTATGCCCAGCTCTGCAGAGTGGCAGAGCAGCGCTGGCAGGGGAGATGTGCCCAGCTGGAAAATTGCAGGGTGTCTTGTCTTAAATATAATATTAAATCGGTACCTTTAATTAGTACACTTAGAAAAGGTCACTAGCAATTACCTGGGACACAAAGAAGGCGTGAGCAGGCACAAGCCGTGGAGAAACCGAAAAGGACCATTTTGAGCAGCACATAATTGAGGGGAAAATGGAGAAAAGTCCAGGAAATTACAGGGTGGGTGACAGCAGCTGATGGCCCCATATCTGTCCTGCCCAGTCCCCCACCCCTCTTTCTTGGGAGGGCTGAGCTTCGGGCCTCAGAGAGCCATTTGGGGTATTGGGCCGAGTAGTGCGATCTTGGCTGGAGGGTCAGTGTGGCTTTCCCAGAATCCCATTGGCTGGCCGGAGCTTGGCCCCATCCACCTCCTGGGCTGAGCCCTGGAGGAGGTTGGCAGGTGAGGTGTTTAGTCCAAGGGGGCTACCATGACTTGGTTGTGCACTGTGGATAAGCAGGGCCCTGATGGGCCTCGGTTTCCTCATGTGAATTTCCCCAAGGTATCAGGAAGTAACTCAGTGTTCCACAAACTTTGCCACTGAAGGACCCTTGAGGGTGATGAAGAGGAAATGTGTATCCCTGGAAATCTGGGGGAGATTGGAAAGTCTTTTTCAGTTTTAGGTTGTGTCTTTAGAAATAAATTGTCACATTGTGTTCCCAATATATTCCCCTTTGCTTTAGTGTAAAATAGCTGCTTGTCACCGAGCAGCACAGATGCTTTGGGAAGGTGTGCTTGGTTTCTCTGTGACTTCACATACCTACTCCTTCCTCATCTAGAAAGAGCACTGTACCAGGAGTCTGAAAGTCTGGAAACTTGGGTTCGGGTCCTGACTCTGTTGCTCATCATCGTACTTTAGGAAAACTGCTAAATACATTTAGCTTCTCCATCTTTAAAATGGGAAGATTGGGTTCCCCCAGAAGTCTCTCAGGTTGTTTCAACTCTGTTCCCTGATTTCATTCCTCCTTCTCCCACTTCTCACCTCCTCCCAGCATCACCTGCTTCTCACCTCCTGACATCACCTTGGATGCTGCCATGTCCTGCCCTGCTATGTGACCATGGAGAGACGGTTTTGCCTCTCTGGGCCTCAAGTTCCTAATCTGTAGAATGGGTATAGTGATGACTACCAAACAGAGCTGCTGGGAGGAATTGTGAATGGGCCTGGCACTGTGTCTGGCATGTCATGACAGTCCAGTGGTTGCTCCATATCTTCTTTTTTCAAGTGCTGGGCTTCCAGTTAAGGCAGGGGTGGGGAACCTTTTTTTCTGCCAAGGACCATATGGATATTTATAACATCATTTGCTTAATATAATTCACTTAATATAAATTTATGTTGCTATGAAAAAAGCGTCTAGATTTGTTGAACTTTAAGTCCCGCCTGTAGTTGCCTTGGCAGGGCCAGAGCAAATGATTTCGAGGGCCTTTTATGGCCCACAGGCTAGATGCTTCCCACCCCTGAGTGAGGGGTCTGATAGGGTCACGTCTGGAAGTCCTGAATCTTCAGTTCACAGACCTAGTGTTGTGAAGTGTAAAGTTGTGGTAACAAATGTGGACTCGGCCCGAGTGCCCAGGCTTTGATTCCAGCTCTGCCATTCGTAACTTTGTGGTTGTTGTAAATTACTTAATTACTCCTTGTTACCTTACCAGTTAAATGGGGAGAGTAATAGTAAGGTCTGAATTATATGGTACGCGGAAATCCTTTAGCCCAGTGTCTGGAGTGTGGTTAGTGTTCAGAAATGTTAGCTATCATTGTCATGTTGGAACTGTCCTTTTCAAAGTTTGCCTAGAAAAGCTCATTCGTGTTCTTTTCTAGATAACATTCCCAGAGTTTGGAATCCCTCCTTACTTATTAGCTTGATCAGCTAGAGCTACTCAATAAATTTGAGAGTCGGTATTTGCAGAAAAGTATCTATCCCATTTTATAGGGTAAACTGAAGCTTAGAAAGAAATGATTTGCCCAAGGCCATGGTTCTAATTTAATTAGTCCTTTGAGAGTCAGACGAAGACTATAGACCGGTGGTTCTCAACCTTCCTAATGCCGCGACCCTTTAATACAGCTCCTCATGTTGTGGTGACCCCCAACCATAAAATTATTTTCGTTTCTACTTCATAACTGTAATTTTGCTACTGTTATGAATCGTCATGTAAATATCTGATAGGCAGGATGTATTTTCATTGTTACAAATTGAACATAATTAAAGCATAATGATTAATCACAAAAACAATATGTAATTATATATGTGATTTCCGATGGTCTTAGGCGACCCCTGTGAAAGGGTCGTTCGACCCCCAAAGGGGTCACGACTCACAGGTTGAGAACCATTGCTATAGACTGTCTCTGCACAAAATGACACTGTCATTCTGCAGACTCCTAACAGTTTGCACGCTTCCTGGAGGTATGCGGACCTCCTGAAGCTAAGATGACCAGATGATCTAGTTGCTTGGGACCTCCTGGGTTTAGTATGTGCTCTGCCTCTGTCCTGGACACACCAGGGTGGTTTGTCAGCCTATCGAAGGCTGCCCGTTCGGGGTGGGGAGGAGGGGCTGTAACCCCCAGAGATGATACCTTGCACTGGGACTTCTTAGGCAGCCTTTAGGCCAGGATCCTGGTGCTCACAGTGAATTCTGGTCTGGGCTTCGTTTCCTGGTGAAGGGTGACACTCGATCTTTTCCTTGGGAACAAGAACTAGATCTCGCCACCCAGTGCTAGACGGGAGTTCCTGGAGGCTGGGAACTAACCTCTGTGTGTCCAGTGCTTACCACAGCCCAGCACCTAGTCACTGTCGAATGAATGGCAGGTTTTGCAAAATATCCTGAATTATAAAGGTTGCTTCCATTTGCAAAAGACTAAAATCCAGCTCAATTGACTCAGGCAGGAAAAAAAAAAGTGTGTGTGTGCGCGGGTGGAGGGGATTTATTAGTTCATATAGCTGAGAAGTCCCAAGGATGGAGCTAATAGCAGGCACATCTGGCTGCAGACCCTCACACCATCAGGGATCTCTCTCCATGCACAATTTGCCTCTGTTTTCCTCCTGTTGGCCTTTTCTCAAGTAGGCTCTTCCTGTGTGGTGCCAAAGACGGCTGCCAGCAGTGCCACTTTAGCAACCCCAGTGGCAGGAAAGCTCCTCTTTCTCAATAGTTCCAGCACAAGTCCCAGGTTAGCTTTGATTGGCTAGCTTGGGTCACGTGCTTATCCCTGAGCCAATCATTGTGACCGGTAAGATGGAACGCTCTGATTGGCTAGGGCTGGGTTATGTGCCCATCTTGGCACATTAGAATTGGGAGTTTGGGCCCCTGTTCTCATCTGAGCCACTTGGAGAAGGGAGCCTCCAAATTAAAATTAGAAGGGAGGGGGGCAGGCAGAAGTCACAGCTTTCCATGACACACCCAGAACATGGCAAATGCTGTTTTCCTGTTATAGGCATGTACACACTGCGACCTGTGGCCAGGGGAGCCTGGGTCAGAGCCTGGGACACATGATGGCTTGCAGTAGTCAGTGTCCTGCCGGGGATCTCTGGGCGGCTGCTCCTCCTGGGATTCAGCGACCTGAGCAAGGTGTGAGGGACGGACTGACCTCCTCTTTGTGCCTTCTGCTTTCTCCCGTGGATACTCCAGGTTCCTCTGTGACCCAGTTGCTGGCCCGAGACATGGACAATGACCCGCTGGTGTTTGGCGTGTCTGGTGAGGAGGCCTCCCGCTTCTTTGCTGTGGAGCCTGACACAGGAGTGGTGTGGCTCCGGCAGCCACTGGACAGAGAGGTATGCCCTGCCCAGACCCCTGCCTCAGGCCTTTCCCAGAGGGCAGGAACAGACCCTGGGGGAGGATGGGTCATCACCTTTTAGGGGTGTTTCTCTGAGGCCCCATCCTGAGCCTGAAGCAGCATCTTCCTGCCTGAATAGGGTCCCGCTTCAAGAGGCAGTGCTGGACTTGGGGTTGGAAGGGGGTTGGGGGTATCTCCAAGTGAAGGACAACATTGGGTAGGCAAGAGGGACAGCGATCCTGGCTTCATCCCCTGTAGAATGGGGGCTCCATGGGGTATATAAGTCTACTCCTGCCCTAGCAAATGTCCCCCTAAACCACGCAGAAGTGGATGACTCTGTAGCCCTTCGCAAATTAAGGTAAGAGCTTGGACAAAACCCCCAACCCCCTTTCTCCTTCCATTTGAGGAAGTGGCCACAGAAGTGTCTAGTGACTTGTTCAAGATCACACGGCAATTCAAAGGCAGAGTCCACATTAGAACCCGACTCTTGACTTCCAGTCTGTTGCTCTTTTATGGGAAGAATCCGTATTCTGAACCTGCTTCCCCAACCCAAGGGGGAAATGCTGGTTTTTTAGGGAAGCCTTTGGGTACCCAGTCTCAGACCAGCCCCACCAGGGCCCGGGAGCTCAGCACACCTTTCTAACTCCACTCCCCCTCCCTTTCCTTTCTTTCAGACCAAATCGGAGTTCACAGTGGAGTTCTCCGTCAGTGACCACCAGGGGGTGAGTATCCCCGGAAGCCCCTGCTGCCCTGGGAGGATTGTTCTGGGCCCCTTGGGTGGAAAGCAGCTAATGGTTAAAGCCAGCACTGACCCCCCCCTTCTCTTGCCAGGTGATCACGCGGAAGGTGAACATCCAGGTCGGGGACGTGAATGACAATGCGCCCACATTTCACAATCAGCCCTACAGTGTCCGCATCCCTGAGGTAGGAGCCGCTGGGTCACACTTGGGGCACATTGGGGACCTGCTGCTGGGAATGGGGTGTAGAGTCGGCTGGGGCAAGGGCATGTCCACCCTTCCTCTTCTGCCCACACCTCAGCTCAGGCATCTGCCTGGGCAGGTTGAGCACCTCTGAGGGTATGGGCCCATCTGCTGTCCAGGAGAGTGGGTTGGTGGGAGTCTCATGCCTAAGAGAGGGCCAGCCCCACAGCTCCAGCTGGAATCAGGGACAAGACAGAGGTTAGGAGGGACCGGCGTTGTGCCCTCTTTCCTTCTGGGCAGAGCCAGTGGGGGCCGTGGGCAGGTGGGTTGGCAGCCCCAGGCCTTCCTGATGTTCCAGGAAGGGACTTTCCCTGGTCCTGTGATCACCCGCTGCCCCCTGGCCCTTGGCTCCTTTGGGTAGTCTGTGTACTCTGAGCATGTTTGCATGAGTGCATGCGTGTAAAACCAGGCATTGCTGGTAATTGAGAAGTACAAATTATCGCATTACAAACGGTTCGTTAATAAATTGGCTGCTGGCTCACACGGCACCAGGATTCTCACTGCCTGTTGTCCCTCTCCCCAGTGGCTGGTGGCAGTCTTCTGGGCTGGCAGTTAGCGATTCAGAGACTTTGAAGGTGGTGGGTATGGAGCTTCCAACTGGACGTCCCTCAAACCTGACTTCACGGCTCTGGTTGGGGCAGCAGCGAGGGGCTGAGGTGGGGATGATGGGAGATGGAAGCCGCTGGAGGGAAGCAGGCTGGCACCGCGGCATTTCAGTCCTAGCCCCTTTGTGTTGGATCAGGTCATTGGATCAGGAAAACTGGAAGAGTCTTTAGAAAATATCTGTTCCGTTTATGGATGAGAAAGCTGAGGCTCAGAGTGGTAGAGTTACTTGCCCAACGTCACACAGCTTAGATGTGCCTCCTGACTCCCAGCACAGCCTCGGATTCCCTCAAGGACGAGGAGACCTTGTTTCATGCACCTCAAGTTCCTGTTTCAGGCCCTTCTTGCTCAGCTGTGAGCCAGGGATCCTTTGCTTATACCAGACAGAGGGAGGTGAGGACAAGTGTGCAGGTGGAGACATAACAGAGGCTCCCACGCCCAGCCCCTGGTGGGGCAGGATATAATCAGGGAGAGCCCATGGCCCCCAGCATGGGGTATGGTGCCCTGAGCTGTGGCCGGCGTGCCTGGGACTGCAGCTTGGCTCTGGGCCCCCTCTCATTTGGAAGCCTCCCTAATTTAATTAAGGGTCTCTACGTGCCAGCCTGCACTACAGGCCCGGGCTCAGAAACCAAGGGCACGGCTCGGAGTTAATGAGCCTTGGACCCATTGCTCAGCTGCCATCCTGACAGGCATGGCTGCCCCCTGCCTTCCCTCACAGGGCAGCAGGCAGCAGCGATGGCAAGAGGACAAGAGGTCACAGTCCTCCTCCTCAGCCCTGGGCGGGGGCCAGTCTTCTTCTTTCCCTTGCCAGGAGGTATGACCTCCAACACCACCCTGTTGGAATCTCCTGGGATTCTCCAAGGCCTTTGCCTCCAAGGAGAGAGCCGCTTCCATCATTCATTTGTTTAACAAATATTTATTGAGTGTCTGCTGTGGGCTTGGCCCTGTGCCAGGCTCTCACTGCACAGAGACACGGGAGGCCAGAGGGATGGGCAAGGACAGGAGCCAAACTAGCGGCAAGAGACCTTCGGCTCAGTCCCTGCTCTGCTCCCAGATTGCTGGGTTTCTTTGGACATGTCACTTAACCTCTCTGGACACAGCCCTCTTATCTAATAAAAACAGAAGAAAGGCAGGATAAAGTGCCCATCTGATGAGGAAAGGGTGCACTGAGAGGGGCCAGCTGCAAGGACACACAGTCCTTGGACAAAGGCCGGCATGGTTTACTTGCTCACGTGTAAATATCCCTGGGTCACTTTGCTGGCCTGATACTCGATCGAGGATGCTCAGTGTGGCCAGTGGGGATATGGTGCCAGCTGGGTGGAGGCCGGGCCACTCCTGACCTGAGATGGCTTGGCACTGGCCAGTCCTTGCCTGGTGTGGTCATCTGAGCTAGAACTTACTGTCTGACTCAGCCCCCAACTTGGGTACCAGCAAAGGACCTGCTGACCTCTGGCCTGGAGTTGAGGCCAGGGCCTCCTGTTTGCACTGAGGTTACCCTGGAAACCCCAGGCTTCTGCCCTTGAGAAGCGTGATTTGTGGCAGAGGCCTTGCAGTTTTGAACAGAGTGAGAATGCACACTAGAGACACAGGGGAACACTGTAGATCCTGTGATGCATCAGTGCTGAGGTGTGGCCAGTGATCAGAGAAATCTCAGCAGGCTTCCTGGAGGAGGAGGTGGGTTTCAACAGAATCTTGCCAAGGTGAGCAGTAGAGGTCGTGTTGTATCGTGGGCAGAGGGAGACTAGAGGTCAAGACACCTGGGCTCTAGTCCTGACTGTGCTAACACTGGTTGGTGGGATTCTGGAACTGTCACTGTCCCTCTGCTGGCTTCAGTTCCAATGGCTGTTAAACTAGGGCATGGACCAGGCTAACATCCATGATCTGAGGGTGAATCCAGTAGGAGAAGCCCCCTCCTTTCCCTTGGGTGATGGCAGAGAAGCCCCAGTGGCTGCCTCCCTGCTCTCAGCTTCTCTCTGGCCGTCCCAGCCACCTGCACCTTATCCCTTACCTTCCGTCCTCCACTTTCCCCAGCCCTAGGGGCCCTGATAGATTTGGATCTGTTGTGCTCAGAACCCAAGGATAGGCATGGGAACAGGTTACCAGGAGCCAAATTCTGTGTCTGCATAGGAAGAACTTTCTAAATAAGACCTGCTCCACATTCTACTCCCCCGCCCTCCTGAGGATGCACTGAGCTCCCCAACCCTGGAGTTAGGCAAGCAGAAGCAGGAGCACCGTGTGTTTCAGAAGCCATTCGGTACTGTTTGAGAAGTGAGGAATCAGAGGGTCCCAAACACACCACATCAGAATTTCCAGGGTGTGTTTAGGTGTACAGGGTGGGCAATTGTAGGTTTAGAGTCATGAGTCATCAAAGCAGAGAGTTTATTCTTCTATTGTTATTTATTAATATTGTGCTGTTTTCCATGCGAACGACTGTAACCCTGTCTTTGCCCCGCCCTGTATTCCTAAGCCCCTGCAATTATGAATCTGTAGTTTGGGGCGAGCTGGCCTGGGAAGCTGCGTGTTTCACAAGCTGCCCCGGTGACCGCGAGCCCTGGAGGATGACCTCCGGCGCCCTCCCCGCCAGAGTTTCTGAGAGGTCCTGGGGCAGCCCGTCTGTGAGGAGAACTTCCAGCCTGTCCATAGCTGCCTGGAGACATGACCCGTGGGGACCCGTGTCCTCGGGTCTGGAATAGGAGTGAGTGGGAGGCAGATCAAGGCCGGGCACTGCCCCTTTCCTGGGAGAAGCTCACCTGCCCCAGCCCCCTGCCTCCTGCCCCCTCTTCCTCTGGAAGCCCTGGTACTGCCTTGGGAGAAGCCAGGCAGGTATGTTTGGGTTTGTTTGTTCTCGTTCCCCTCTTGCCCACCCCTCTCCCCTCTCTAAGCTGTTCTCCGTGTAATTATCCATTTTATCAGGGTGAAAGGCCCTGCAATTCACTTGTCGAAGCCCTAACGAGGCAGCGTGGATGCTTTCAAGTCCGTAAAGAAAAGGGAAATCCTGCTAGAATTGGCAACTTAATTCACCAAGCCAGCCTCGACAGACCTCATTAAGTCCCCGTGTATTCATTTCAGGCTAATGGCTGTCATGCTGACTGCTGTTTGATTTGCTGTAATAGACTTTTATGTCGTTCCAATTTGCTCAAACGTGTTTGCCTGTGTCTGTGCCCAGCAGTGCTGCTTCAGTACCTCCGCTCGGGGTGCGTGCCCGCCTTGCTGACCTTCAGCGCTGCCCCATCCCGTCCTGTCCCTCTCCTCCTGGTGCCACGCTCTCAGCTCCCCAGGTGTGCCCGGGGAGCTGCCCCCGGAGCCAGGGGGTTTGGGCTGGAGGATGGATGTGAGTTAGAAGGCAGACGATGCCAGGTGGCTCCTTGAATCAAGGATCAAGGAGTGCCTTTTGCAGTGTCAGGGATGGCCGTGTCCTTGAAGTTCTGACAAGTTCAGCTGGGCCATCGAGGCTTTTATCCATCTGGCCTCAACCTGCATTTCCCAACTTACCTTCTGGTAGTGCCCCCCCTGAGCGCCCCGTCAGCCCAGGGGTCAGGTCCTTGTGTCTGTCTGTCTCTCTTTTCTCTCACTGGCACACACGGTACTGTTCTAACAAGTACTGGAGTGTTTTTCTTCTCCCAGCCTAACCCAATTCCGCCCGTCCATCAAAGCCCAGATTGATCCATCTGCCCCGAGCCACTCAATTTTTTTTAAATGAGCACCACACGCATCTGTCGGATGTTCGGCCATGGAGCAGGGCCCAGGGATTCCAAGCTGACCTGGACATGCAGGGTAGAGAAAAAGGACTCTGCCTTTTGCCAGCTGCGCCACTTTGGATGGCGACCTAACCTCTCTGGCCCCCAGCTTTCTTATCCATGAGATGGACAACCGTGTTTGCCTTGTGGGGTCGTTGTGAGAGCGGGACAGATGCGGCAGGACAGGCCCTACGCCCCGTTTGCGGCTCATGTATAGGCAGTAAAATGCTGGTGGTTAAGACTGCCATCCTCAGAGAAGGTACTTTTATAGAGAGAACAACAAGTGAGTGGATGTCCAGCTACATCTAAATGCATTGAAAGCCAGCATAGCAGAGGGTGTGGGTGTGCACAGCGGGTGGAAGGACTGTGGAAGGAGTGGCCGGGCTGTACACGGGGGCTGTGGATGCGGGACCTTATAGGATGAATGGAGTTTGTTCGCCAGAGATGACTATGTCTCTGAATATCATGGACTTTCTGAGATCCTTTAGCCTCTTTTCCTATAGTGGAATTTCCCAAAGAGGCAAGTGAACTCTGCCCCCTGACGAGAGAGCCTGTCAAGGAGGGACAGTGGCTGAGTGCGTATGTGTGTCCCGCGTAGGTGCCC